TCCTGAAAACAGGTTGCAAAACCCATTAACAAAGTAGTCACTTTCACTACAAAAGTTGTAAATCACAATATGTATTTTGTAAAATTCATAAATAACTACATGTATAGTGAAATTTACCATTCACGTAATGGGATTTACCAAAAACCAACAGGCATATGACAGCAGTTACGTTACGTAATTGCTTGCCATTGTTTTCTGATTTCCGCTTTGTCTTTCCCACAGGTTCACTCCCTCTCTCACTACAAATCCTCTTTCCCACAACCAAAACCCACCAAATCAATAATCTCTATAGAATGGTGATGCGAAGGATTTAGACATTTAGTTTCGTCAACTGGAAGGGGTTCGGTTTCGTGGAGTGGAGGGATTGGTTTCATCGAGTAGAGGGATTCGGTTTCACTGAGGGGAGGGATTAGTTTCACCGAGTAGATGGATTGGTTTCGCCAAGTGGGGGCAGTTTCTCTTTCGCCGAGTGGGGGGAATTGCTTTCGCTGGGAGGAGGCGAACACAATAAGGGCAATTCAGTCTTAGGCCAAAAATCAAAATTCCAGATTGGTACCTGATGCCTTCTTTGTCATTTTGCTTATTCAAGTCCCTTATTTGTCTTTTTGGAATTCAAGTGGTATTTTAGTGTCATTTTCCCATTTATATTCTTTCAAAAAATACTTGATTTATAAATCATATGCTTTTCTGGTTCTTAATATAAGATCTGTTTAATTAATTTGATTAGATTAAAAAAATTAAGTAAGTTAGGTAATTATAAAAAATATGACATATTTTTTAAAAAAAATATACTGTAATCATCTTTCTTAATATTTTTATTTTCTCTTTTACCTTATTATGGCTGATGAAGTATATGTGTATTCGGTAAAAGAAAGTAAGAGACTGGTGATATTAGATATTGATAAAAATAAAAATAATTCTGGACAAATAACCAATTTTTATTGAATTTTAGATTATTATGCTAGAATAAGGCTACAACAATAATCTATAAGGCATTCGTGTTGTGTGTGTTAGCACCTGGTAAGGAATTAATTTGTTAGTAATATTTACAAATCTCCCATTTACGAGACCATACGAGACACTGAGAAATGAAAAGCCGCGATGTGTTATAAACTTTGTGCATTCTTTTTTTTTTTTTAAAAAAAAAAAGAAACATTTTTCTTCATGCGTTTCATTGATTCTCCGCAACGCCGTCGTCATTATTTTGATATTTTCCCACATATTCTATTAGGATTTGAAGTGAGAGACGAATGAGCTTTTTGGGAATAGAGTTTTAACTGAATTAAATTCAGACGATATATGATATTTAATATTATGGGTTATAAGATAATATTACCTCCAATCTTTAATATAAAAACTAGTTGACTAATTTGAATAGATTAAGAAAACTCATTAAGTTAATTATTTGTAATAAATATGTATTATCTTTTCTAAAATATCATTACTAATTAAGTATATTGACTAGAACTATCATTATTACAAGAACTATGTTAAAAAAATAGATGAATATGAGAAAAAAATAAGATTTTATAATTATAATCAAAATAAAAATCAAATAAATTTTTATATTGTGGACCAGAAGTAATAAGAAGCAGCCACGGGTCGTAAATGGTTGAAAGCGAGCGAGAGAGATAGGAGAAGACAAAAGCTCCCATAATGTGGAAGCCAGGTTCCAGCTCCAGCCCCCGGCATCAGGCTCTCTCCTCTCCCTTTCTGGGGCCAAAATATATCATTCTCATTCCTCACAGTGGCATGTAATTTTACTTCCTTACCTAAAGTCAATGTACCACTTGCTCTTCAGCACATACATAGTGGCTTCAATCGAATTGAGAGTGCGTTTTCTTTGATAAAGCCACCAAAATTCATAAAAAAAGGTTTATTCTATTTAAAATTAACATCATCCACGCTTCATTCATTTATTCAATTCTTATAATTCATGCAACTCCATCTCAACCGTCAGTCGAACTATACTAGCGACGAATTAAAAATGGATGACAAATGTGGCCATGAATATTCATATCTTAAAATCACCACAGTACAGAGACGACTCACATATGTAGTTTCTACAAATATGTAGAATGATGTAGACAATAATGTATATCCCCAACCCAGTTAAGACAAGAACAACAGCTTTTGACAGCATCAAATTATTAATTTCCTCGTCTTGCTTTTGACACGCACTCGCGCACGCGCATGAAAATGAAAGAAAATGATAGGGAAATGTATTTAAAAATTTAATTGGTTAAAAAAAACTTAAATTTAAGCGTGTACAAGTATGATCTGGGAGTACGACGTATCTTTCGCTGTATGCAAATAACTTCCGTATTGATGATTATTGTGTATCATTGATTATATGTTACACACAGCGAAAGATATGTCATACTCAGAGATCATACTTGCAATATCTCAAATCCAGGTCCTTTTAAATTTTCAAACAGAAATTTTTTACCAAATTTCCCAAAATGATATTATTTTCGGTTCTTAATATAAAAGCTAGTTAGGGATTAGATTTTGTCATAAATATAAGACCTTGATTCACTTTACCTTTCGAATTTATAATATTTTCTCAAAAATATTTTTATTGATTGTAAGGTGCTCCCACAAAAACATAGCTCCAATAAACATGATTAGAAAGAGTAGTGCACAAAAACTATTACTCATAGTTAACTTAACTAATTTTTGTAATTTTCTTAAATTAGGTATCCTATCAAAAGCGAGTTTATATGCACATTGGGGGGGGGGGCGATAAAAGCACCGAAAAGCAAGGGGGAAAAAAGGGATTCATGTATTCAACTCTCAGATTCAAAGGCAGTGCAGATACTAAAGCATTCCAACACGAGTCCTTTGAATCGCCCGTTATTCCAAAACAAAGGACTTAAAGTGACCTCCTATTTTAATTTAAACAATGTATATGAAACAAACTATCACTAACTTTAATTGCATCGCTAACAACACACTTGGAAGTTGGAATTAGGTCCACTCATGTTGGTTTTCTTTTGTTCTGATACGTTGTTTTGAAAGTGAAACATTGGACCCAATATTTAATAAACGAGCCCATGTTGCTGTCCTTCCAGCCTCTGCGGAACACAGCCACCGTTCGATCGTCCTCCCACCCTTACATATTTTGGTAGCAGAATTTCTTTCTGCTTTTCAGACTCAACAACCATCCATAATTTCATATATTTCTCGTTAATCGGACGTTTTCTTTGTTCCACACCTCGTCAATCTTCAATTATCAATCAACTATGTTTATAAACGAGCTAATCTAATCGTATTGTTTCTTTACTCAAAAGAGTTGACGGCTGACCTTTCCGTTCTTATTTCCTGTATTCTCGATTATTTATTAATTTATTTATTTAACCTGAAACGAACTCTCCTCGAATGAATGTATGTATTTTTGTATGTTTATAAATCAACATGCCATTCACGACAAGAAACAAACATTACATAAATTGTCTGTTGAATGGGATACATAGGGAAGGTTCGGTTGTTTGTTCGACCATTGACGCGGTCCATTAATAATAACACGCAAAATTAATTGTAAGTTAATGGGATTATTTTCTCGCGAATGGGACTTTTTATTTAATTTTTGATGCTATTACAGGAAATAGAGGAGAAAAAAAAAATTCAGACTAGTATTATGATGTAGTATTGGTCTTTAAAATGATTCCTCCAGATAATTTTGTGGCTTACGATTACAAACCAATCCCATGAGTTTTGCTTTTGTGATTATATTTTCTAGTGATGCCCACAAATCTCTTTGTTGATTGGATGCCTTCAAGATCATAGATACTACCAACCATGAAGACTTCAACTCAATTATAATAAATATGTTTAAATTATTCTCCCTCTCTGTCGGTTCAAGTGTTGATTTTCATCCATCACTGTCGCAAATTGCGAGTGTGTTTTTCAGTTGCTTCACATTTCGTTCACAATCTGCACCCATTAAAAAGAAATATAAATAGCCTAATTTTGTGAGTGAAAGTGAAGGCAGGAAAAGCTACGGGGATGAGATCGTCAATAAACAAATCCCACGTAAACATCTCGGATTGATTAATTTAAGAATTAAAGGCCACACCCATGTTTAAATTTGGATTCAGTTCACACGTGGAGCTTTCAGGCTTTAAAAAGACGATTCCGATTCCACTGGAATCGGTCCTCCTCACTAATAATGTGCGTATGGATTCAGGGACGTATAAAAAATCTCAAAAAAGCTTCGGATTCTTGGAGGCCCACCATCCAAACCAGACAAATATAAATAAACAGGTTTCAGGGGCACCAAAAAAAAAAAAGGATGCAAGGGAATGAAGAATCAACTCCAGCCATGCGTTTCAGATATTATCAAGGCACGTCAATTATCGACTCTGGAAAATTCGCTTATGAAGGAATTTCTCACTTTCCAAACCTTATCACTACAAAAAAGATAAGATAGGTAGAGAATAACTCATTTCATTTGCTTAAATAATAAATAAATTATAAGGAGGGCTAGTAGGACGTGAGGACTGCTCATCATAACCCAAACACACTGAATTATTTAGAAAGAAGAATTATGGTCAAATAAGGAGCCGGATTTCAGTCTTAGACGGAATCACTGGGCTGGGCCTTAGGGCTAGGTTGGCCCAAGTCATCTATCATTACTTTTTGAAATATGGAAGGTTTCTTAATTAATTTATTTTCTTAACCTTTGCAGCCAATGCATTGGCGTGCACCGTGTCATTCTCAAGGCGCTTTGAAAACGTGAGCTGTGCTCATGATCAATACATTTATATGCATAAAATGCAACAAATCACTTCACTGTTTTGACCTTCCCCTTATTTTTTAGAGCTTATTGATTGGGATGATAACTTTATGATAAATTGTCTCTGATATTCCTTCTGGTGCTAAGATTCTCATGGAGAATAACCTCCATTTTCTCTGTCCCGATAAAATCATGGGTCCACTCCTCCCCAGGAAAAATGGTGAAGCGCAGAAAATTACAATCAAGAATTCAACCACTCAAGCCAATCGACAATGCTGCCGCTGATTCTGCGATTCCTTGGCATGCTAACTTGGGTACAAGGTTACGGAATGGCCGTCGTGAGTTGCGGCTGGAGAGGAGAAAGTGGTGCACGGTTGGTGCTTGAGACGCAAAAAACGAAACAATAGAACACCTGCCACAGCTCCACTTATGGGGGCTGTGATGTATATCCATATGTCCTTGAATTTCCATGACAGGATTGCGGGGCCTAATGATCTTGCAGGATTCATTGATCCCCCCGAAACAGGTCTGCAACAAAATCCACACCAGTTATTTCAGGAGACAAACCTATACGGTCTGTAAAAAATCTATGGAGATTGTAGATGATACCCGGTGATCAACACTGCAAGTCCAATGGCAATTCCAACAACAAAACCGGATAAATGACCCACCTGCAAAATGCATAGAGTTTTAACCCAGATAAATTGCTTTTCTTCGCCGTGGCTAGTGCACTACTATTTGGAACTTTAACGTGGACCTGAAACCTAAATCTCAGCCCTACTCGTCGGACTGGACTTGAATCAGAATTCTCAATTTAACGTGATATTTTATACTCATAAAAGCGAAACACAGACTACATTCTTTTGCATCACTTCTGCTAACGCTTGAATGCAAAGGATACAATTTTACCTGTGAGTTGTTTAGCCTATATATGGTTCAAAACTAAAACAAGAATATAAAGTTGCAACCTTCGGCAGAATGAATAACTATCCTATCAAATAATTTGTCATGCGGCGGAACTTGAATTGCATGAAATTTAATTCTTTGGATTTTGAAATTTCAGGGATTTTCGAATATTTCCATCCAAACACAATCTTAATTGAAATTTGGAATTCTGGGGCATGGTTGATACAGTATGAAGGAGGACTCTAATTCCTTACTGATTGAAATTCACTTGTCAAGGCTGCAGCAAGGAACATTATGATGAAAGTTGCAATCAGCTCCACCCAGAAGGCTGAGACAGGCCCTTGGATTGGCCTTGTCATCATGGCTTCTGATTTAATCCCATAGACGAGGCTGCCAATATACGTTGCCAACACAGAACCCACTGTTTGTGCTAGTATGTAAACTGGAACCTGTTCAACAGGGAAGGAGAAAGATATGAAGTTATTAACTACTATAACAATGGTGCCTGAAGTGTACAAATGACCGTGCTTTTGTTTCTTCTTGAGGACCTTCAGCCATGGAAATTGACCAAACGTTGCAAAAGCTATTGTGGCGGCCGGGTTAACATGAGCACAAGAGATTGGCCCAATTGAGAAGATTACAACAACCACTGTTAATCCTGCCGTAGCTGCATACTCCAGGAGGCCCACTTCTCCATTCTGCGACTGCGTGCTTGCAATGATTCCACATACACAGAACATGAGAATGAAAGTACCCACCATCTCTGCCACGGCCTGCATTTCAGAAGAACTTACATTTCCCAAGTTCATCAATATTTCAAATTGCAGGCTAATAATGGCTATTCTCTCACCGTGCGAGCATAATTTAGGTCAAGTCTGATGAGCGAACTATGAAAAGCAGAGTTTTTCACCAAGATGTATTGCTGCTTTGATATTGCATTGGTGCAGTCAATCTCCTTGTCATCTGAGGAGAGGCCAGTGCTGCTTGACGCATCATTAAAATTCTCGAGAGATGGTTGTTTCTCAATCATGATTTTCTTCATGATCGGACTTCTGCTGCTGAAATATTTTATTGGGGATCTTATAATGAGTTCTCAGATGTGCGAGGAGAGATGGTACAAGTTGCTTAGAAAGGTTAGATTCTTGTATTGCATGGAACAGGCATGATGCAACAATTAGGGGAGGTTTTAGATAGAAACTTTTGTTGCTCACACATCTTTGGCCTGTTTTCAAGGTGGAGAGTTGGGGAGAAGCATCAACACTTTTCATGTGTTGCTCCGAGTAAGGTAGAATGACAGTAATTATCAACTGCTCCAATATAGAAAGCAAGCTATTCCTTTCCAAACCTTGTTTAACCTCCACCTTTTCCTTTCTTTTCTCTCGTTGAGAGAATTAAATGAATTTGGCTTTGCATCTTGCAAACTGAGAACTAGATCTCAACCACCTTGATATCAAAGCTTGAATGAGTCAAGATTGTTCAAATCAGAGTTGGCTCTTTCCTTTGTTGTTACTGCCACTTTTTATTTCATATTCATCTACCTTTCCTGTTCCTACTTGCATTCCTTTTTCTTTCCGCATACTCTAACCTTACTTTTAATATCAACTGTCGTATATACTTAGGATTAACAACGATCATGATGCTGCGTATGGGGGGGGGGGGGGAGATCATGATGCTAGCCAGTAAAAAATGAATGATATATGTGCCTTTAATTTAACATGTGTATATCTGGACTATTTGTGGCACTAAAGCTGGGGACGTATTTGTAATATTCTGATGGAAGGAGTCTGCCCTATTGGGAGGGAAAAAAAATGGCCCAAGGATTAATCGTGATCAGGATTAATGGTTTTTAAGCACATAGCTTGGTCATTGGAAGTCTCAACCAGTCAACTAGTCAGACTACAGCACATTGGGCAGGGAATTGCGTGGGAAATTCCTGCAGATTGGCGGCAGATTAAATAACAGTAGGTGTTACCCCTCGGATGATCATGCCCAATCAAGCAGAGCAAGCCATCCTGTTTGGTGATTAACCATGCACATATTTTATTCCAAAATTTATTACCTTATATGCCCGGTGTTTTGATGTTTTATAAATTATTTTCAGGAAAATCATTTTGCAGATACATGAAGTTTTCCTCAATTTTTAATATGGTGCCCATGTATTTTTTTTCTCTCATCAATTAAACACTATAATCTTATTCTGTTAGCATAATTAACTTTTGTATAGAGGCTAACAGTGCTAATAAATAGAATAAAATTATACTACCTCTTGTTCTAATTATAAGAGCTAATTGACTAATTTGAGGAGATTAAGAAAAGAAATTAAATTAGTTATTTATAATAAATATGTATTGTCTTTTTTAAAATATCATTGCTAATCAAGTGTATATGTTAGAACTATTATTGTTAGAAGGACTATTTTGAAAAATATATATAAATATGATGGACAAAATAGATTAGAGTCTTATGTTTAGAACTAAAATAAAAATTAAACAAGATTTTATATTAAGGATCAGATGTAGTAAAAGTTAGCGACGCTAATAGAGTAAAATTAGAGTGTTTAATTAAGAGTAAAAAACAAACACAAGTACCAAACTAAAACTTGAAAAAAACTTTATGTATCTACAAAATGGTTTTCTCTTATTTTATTAACTACTTTTTCATTAGGACAAATTAACAATTTGTTATTACTTCTGTATATATTTTATTTCTTAGCCTATTACCACGCGAAAAATAAAAAGCTAATTTGAAAACTGTACAAATAAAAAGTATGTTTGTATGATATTATAATAGTATATAAATATTTAAATGTCAGTAATCACTGGCAGCATGCTTTAATTTTTTAAGGAAAAAGATGAACACGCACAAAATGTTAAAAAAATTGCATTTTGAATTCCAATTATTATTTTTTTTGGTGCCACCAATTCCAATTGGTTTTTTGTTTGACTATGAATTCCGATTGGTTTTTTTTTTATGCTTGCGTGTACGAATTCTTGTTGGCCTTGTTACTGCTGCTTCCGTCTCTTATTATAATTAATATAGGACTCAATTACACAAATCAAAAAGTTAATTAAAGATAATAAATAGGTAAAAATTATAAGTTTTTTTCTCTAAAATACTCTTATTCATGAGAAAAGAGTATAAAAAAGAAAATAAAAAATTATTATAATAAAAAGAATTATGAAAGAGAAAATATGTAACGGAAAAAAGATAATAGTTTGAAAAATAAAACAATAAATATATTAAATATTAAAATAAATAATTAATGAGAATAAAATAAAAAATTTAAGACAATTGATAATTATATTTAGAGATAATAGAAGAATAATAATTGTTGTCTATTTAAAAAAAACCGCGTGAGTAATATGGAAACAATATTTTTATTTTAGATAAAGATTAAAAGCCGTGACCCGACTTGTAAAGAGCATTTCAATACATCACTGTCTCTATTCTTTTCAAACTTCCTCTTTCTTTCGCCGCCGGAGCCACTTTCTAAGAAGTGCAGCAGGGCGCGTCACGCGTGTGCCTTCGCCCGCAGAGGTTAAGCACTGTTATTGCTTCGATAACTCCATCTCAGTCTTTTTTTTGATCTGACCATCTCAGTCTAGTCTAACGAGCATCTCCATTTTTTTGTACCTCCCTAGTTGTTAACACTTTGAAATTTTCCACCTAATCTAACGCGCAGGCTTTGGGTTTGGGGTTCAGACTAAGTTATTGACCCTTTTACTTACTACACTCTAGATGTTTGATGAAAGTCCTGATTATGTGCTTGGGTGTTGAATCTATACAGATTTCTGACTGTGTTACTTTATTTTGTGGAGATTTTCTTTCAAAGCCAGTTGGATATTTGCTGTGAGTACTCAGAGCTTCAGGCCCTATAGAAAAGAGTAGGATAAAAAAGAAAAGAATGACAATGATTTTGAACATAAAAATTAGCATGTGGAACTCTACGTGAGCCTTATAGTATTTAGAAGCATGGTAAAAAAGAAATTTTGGTTTTGTTGTTTTTCTTTTTGGGCTAAGCACTGGTTTTGTTTGATAAAGATGTTTAGGTGAGGAGTTCATTTAGTTGTTGCAAGATGCAGGACTTACAATATCAATGTTGACTCATATGGGTCTAAACTCTTGAGTGTCATTCCCCCCCCATTTGGGACTTTTCTGTACCTGCGATGAGGATGTTTGATTTGAGCACTCTACCTTTTTTTTTTTTTAAAAGAATTTAATTTGTTTTTAATATAATATAATGTGTCTCATGAACCCTAAGAGGCTTGGATTCCACCTGCAGCTCTTGCATTGCTTGCCATAACCATGCAGTCCACACTATTCGTCCCCTTCTCTCCGGCAGCCCCAACTAAGTCGAAGCCACTAACACCTCTTCGTAGATGTCAATCTGCTCGCCCCCACCACTTATCTGTCAGAGCAGAGTCAGTACAATCACCATCTGTCCCTGTGGACTCTCCACCTAAATCCACTCCTGCCCAGAAGCTCAACAGGTTCAGTTCCTGCATAACAGAGCCTAAGTCGCAAGGTGGATCTCAGGCAGTGCTCCATGGGGTGGGCCTCTCAGAAGATGACATGGATAAGCCTCAAATTGGTATATCATCAGTGTGGTATGAGGGGAACACCTGCAACATGCACCTTTTGAGGCTTTCAGAAGCGGTTAAAGAAGGGGTGCAAGATGCCGGCATGATCGGGTTCAGGTTCAACACCATTGGGGTCAGTGATGCCATTTCTATGGGGACAAGAGGTATGTGCTACAGCTTGCAGTCTAGGGACCTCATTGCGGATAGTATTGAGACTGTCATGGGTGCACAGTGGTATGATGGGAACATCTCCATCCCTGGTTGTGACAAAAATGTAAGACATTTTCTCGCAGTTCTGAATTTTTTAAATTTCGATTGTAAGATTTCTATTGCTTGGCCTACTTGGCGTATTTAGTCATTTAAACTAAGTGTTAAATCGATCATGTTAGCAAAGTTTACTTGTCGGCATCTGAGTGCTCTTTACCTTTTCCGTGGAACCTCGTCTTGCACCGCTATTATGTCTCGATTGTGATATTTTCAGTTTAATATTTGTCTTCATCAATCTTCTCGGTGGGAAAAGTTGTGTGGCTTTCCAATCCATGGATGGATCCGTCGTTCTATTACAGGGAGTAACTGAAAGTTTTAATCCTATGTTTCCTATAAGTTCAGAATCTGCTGGTGGTGGCTTGTTTCGTTGTGTTTAAGGAAGGCATTTCTCAAATCATTAACAGTTATTAATTCCGTGCTGTGATGCTGCCGTTAAATTGTGACAAATTTGCCTTCTGAATCTGTTATTGTTATTGTTTCTTGTAAAGCTGTCTACGCTTTGTCTCACTAAATTTATTTTGAACATTTAGCTATGTGGTATTATAGTTGCTTTCATCCAATTGAGTATATGTTGTAAATTTTCAGATGCCAGGTACAATTATGGCAATGGGCCGCCTCAACCGTCCAAGTATAATGATTTATGGTGGTACTATTAAGGTAGGACACAAGGCTTTGGCTTCTGAGAGGGCTATTCTTGTAATTAATTTCAAATTATTATTAGTTGTATGTTCCAATCATGTTTAACAATGCGTCAGTCAGCTTTGAACTTTAACTCTGTTTAATGAAAATCATAATGCGGTTCTTTGGAATGCAGTTTATAAGTTTTTTACCTTTGTTATTTCTTTTGCAGCCTGGTCATTTTCAGGGCAATACGTATGACATAGTGTCTGCCTTTCAGGTAAATGACTCGTTGCTATTGAAACATCCATCCTTTTCCCTGTATTTAAATTACGTCTGCAGAAATCTAATTTAGCTATAAGTTGACCTCCAAAATAAAAATTAAAAAAAAAAAAGAAAAAAAAGAACGCACAGGCATACTTTACTAATTCTTTATTTATCTGTAGTGTTATGGAGAATTTGTGAGTGGATCTATTAGTGATGAGCAGAGGCAAAATGTTATCCGCAACTCATGTCCTGGTGCTGGGGCTTGTGGTGGAATGTACACTGCCAATACCATGGCTTCTGCAATTGAAGCTATGGGGATGTCTCTTCCTTACAGGTATTTATGCCAGTTCAAATTGAAGTTTTTTGAAAGAAAATTTTCTTAACTTTGCTATTTCTTTAGTTCGTCCACACCTGCTGAGGATCCACTGAAGTTGGATGAGTGTCGTTTAGCTGGGAAATATCTGCTTGAATTGCTGAAAATGGACTTGAAGCCCCGAGACATTATAACCCGCAAATCACTACGTAATGCAATGGTTATCGTCATGGCACTTGGTGGATCTACCAATGCAGTGTTACATTTAATTGCTATTGCAAGGTGCTTGAAGTTTGGTGCAATAATTTTTTTTAATATATATATATATATATATGGATCGTTCAAGAAATTTCACATCTTGATTTGCCAGGTCTGTTGGTATCGATTTGACTCTTGATGATTTTCAGAAGGTTAGTGATGAGGTTCCTTTTCTTGCTGATCTTAAGCCTAGTGGCAAATATGTCATGGAAGATGTTCACAAGGTACCATGCTAAATTACCTAGTCTTCCTATTTTCATCTTCCTATTGTCATTCATTTTCTCGGTGTCACCTATGTTGTTTATATTCATGCATTATTATTCATCTCTCAAAACGCTTGTTTTTACAGGTTGGAGGGACCCCTGCAGTTATTCGCTACCTTCTTGAGCAAGGATTTTTAGACGGGGACTGTGTGACTGGTATATCTTTCTTGCATTTGATTATTAAAAAGAGAAGTTTCATTTTTAATAAATACACGTTTCACTAACATGGAGATACTCTCTAGTCACTGGGAAGACCCTAGCTGAAAATGCAGAAACTTTCCTTCCTTTGACAAAAGGGCAGGTGTGATTTTGTTGGTGTTCAATCTTAATGCTTCCCATTTTTCTACAGTTAGTGTCAGGCTACAAATCTGTGTTGTTTGATTCAGGAAATTATAAGGCCAGTAGAAAATCCCATCAAGAAGACAGCACACATTCAAATTTTATACGGGAATCTTGCACCAGAGGGTTCTGTTGCTAAAATAACTGGAAAAGAGGGGCTATATTTTTCTGGTGCATTTTCTTGATATCTTGATCTTGGGTTGTCTTGAATTTTTAACATGCTGGTTAATTGTGTTTGTCCATATGGCAATTTATTAATCATGGGGATCATTCAACAGGTCCTGCGCTGGTTTTTGAGGGAGAGGAGTCAATGATTGCTGCCATTTCAGAGAATCCTTCAAGCTTCAAGGTAATTCTTCTGTTGTCTTGGCTGTTGTTGCAAAATACTTAATAGTGACTAAGCCTACAATCTAACACATGAACTACTGAAAATTGATGCAGCTATAATTGCTCAGTTTCGATTAGTTTTACTCTTTCTTAATTCAGTTAATTCATATGTGAGCTGTGAGTACATGAATTGCTCTCTTGAGTAGAAATGATGCCTTCAAATTCTTTTTATTTTGATCAAGGGATCCATTAATTCGTATGATTTAGAATATTTTAACTATTACTCTTGAATGAAAGAAACTTGGGACAAAAGAGACGTATACCTGGAAGAAGATATGACAGACTTGAAAATCGAGAGCAAACAGGCATTGCAACAAGTCCATCCAATGCACCTATAGATGGATTAATGGAAACTACTTGAGAACACCCATAAGCATAACATTGAAAAGAAACCATATCCCATGACAAATGTAAACAAAGATGCCATTAAAGATGTGGCCATTCTGCTCCAGAAAGTTAAATGAAAGTGTGCACTATTGCAGCGTCTTATTAGACCAGGCATGTTAATTGAATCGTAAGAAACTGATCCAATTATAAGGACGCATCCAGTGGTTACTAGAACTGGCACACAAACTATTCCAAAGGAAAGTTGCTGCTGCATGGTGCCACGTGTTTACAAGGCCTATGAATTTGCACCATGTCATTTACATCTGGTAAACACGAGTCCTTGGCATATTTCAAGGATTGACATTTTTAAAGCAAGGTACTTATGGTTTCTTTCTTTCTTTTTGGATTTGCTTTCTTTAGCATGCAGAGGCTGGTATGCTTCGAAAACTTAATTTGACAGGTGGCTTCTGAATAGAAGTTTCGTGATTCTTACCCTAGAATGAATCCAGCTTTTATAATCCACGTTATTTAAATCAACAAGTTTTAATCACGATCGCAAGTAATTACAGAACTTCAACGGTCTTATCTGTCACCTGCTGCATTGGAAAATCTTGTTCTGATACTGTTACTTGTGATACTCTTGATAATTACTTTGGGGATTTATATCTATTAGTTTAGCATTACAAAAATGCAACCGCAAGGTCATTGGCATCTAAGATTGGAAATTTTATCTCATTTTATCTTGCGATATATCATCTTTTCAGGGAAAAGTGGTTGTTATCAGGGGAGAGGGACCTAAGGGTGGTCCTGGCATGCCTGAGATGTTGACGCCCACAAGTGCAATAATGGGTGCAGGCCTTGGGAAGGTCTCTTCTTTATTTCCTTGCTAATTCTATTTTTATGTGTGTGTTGGAATGCTAGCCTCCCCATTAGCTCTTTGGAGGTTAGCTAGCTCCATGTTTGGAATAAATATTTCCCCTATATTGTGAGCCAAATATGTGTATGACCATGCTTTATTGCCTTGTAATACTGCAGGATGTTGCACTATTGACTGATGGAAGGTTTTCAGGAGGTTCACATGGGTTTGTGGTTGGCCACGTATGTCCTGAAGCGCAGGTGAATTCGCTTTTCATTTATCCTAGTATTGCCATAATATTTTAGAAGGAAATCTGATGCATCTTATGTGCACCGTAATCTTTCCTTCAATTATTTTAATGCAAGGGATGTTTATTTATTTTAATCACGGAAGTATCAATTGATGAAAGTTTCTGTGGAGAAGTCTTTGCCGATGAATGACAGAAGTGCAATAATTTTCACAGGAAGGTGGTCCTATTGGCTTGATTCAAAATGGAGACGTAATCAACATTGATGTTCAGAAACGAAGAATTGATGCTATGGTAACAGATGAGGAGATGGAAGCACGAAGGAAGAAATGGACTACCCCTGCATACAAAGCCAATCAAGGAGTTTTGTACAAGGTATGAAATCTGGATAATTTATTTTCTTTCTTTTTCTTTTTTTTTGGTTTTTCTGAAGACAATTTTTGTACATCTAGTTTGATGAATATCCATTTTGCCCCTTTATTTTCCATTGTTACAATTGAATCCTCTGAGTTGAGTGGATTCGTTTTCATCCCTCCTTAGACAATCTGTGAGTATTGTGTCAATTGCTGCTGACTTGATCGATGAAAAGGACATCATGACATTGTTAACAGCTCAGTTAGACAAACATGATGAACTATGAATCGTCCAACGAGGGATGCGATTGAAACTGCTCGTAGAACTTGAAGGATTCAATTATCGTTGAAAATAGAGGACCAAAATTTTTTGGGAAATCACAGAAGGAAACAATCCTACGCCGTGTGGATGATGAAATGCAATCGACACTTTTGGTAAAAAAATTTAGTCATGCCCTGGGTTTTAAACTTGAATTCTCTCTGTTTCCAGTACATCAAAAACGTACAATCTGCATCCAGGGGATGCGTGACAGATGAGTAGAGATGGCTCATTTTTGGAGGCTTGATGGAGAAAAAAACTGGACGTGTGCCCCGGCAGCTTTTCAATGTAGCATTAACTTTGCAGCCTAGTTGTAAATCCCTTTATTGAGTGTGACCGTTTCTGTACCGTTCTTGTGACACTACGATTTATCTTTAAGGATGAATTAATAAAATTTTTTGCATCGATTATTTTCTTTTTCCTACGCATGGCGACTCCCCTTTTGGACTTAGGGTGTGTTTGGGTGACACCCCAAACTGTGGTTTGGGGACCCAAACCGTGGTTTGGGGAATAAACCACCCAAACATCCCCTCCAAAAATCAAAACCATGGTTTTGACTCCAAAACCATGGTTTTGGAAAAAGCAAAATTTTTTTGTTTTGGAGAAAAAGGGAGAGTGTGAGGGCTTATATGATATGTATCTTGTTATTTTTTTATAAATATATTTTTTTATAAATATATTTAATCTTATATTTTATAAATATATATACACATTAATTATTTATTAATTATATTATCTTATGTATTATTAATTATGTTGGTAAAAACATATTATTAACAATTTTATTCCTTCAAATTAAAATATATCATAAAATCTATTTTTTATGTAATTATCATATTAACTTATGTCTTTTTTTTAGTAATTTGTATATATAAAAAGTGCTTCTGATAACAACTATCCAAACACTCTCACTTCTCAGAATCACTTTTTTACAAAATCTATTCTTCACAGAATCTATTTTCCCCAGAATCTATTCTCCAGAATCACTTTTCCAAACCACAGTTTGGTTTCATCCAAACACACCCTTAATCCCATTTGAACTAATTGCGGGCACGAACTTGACCATGTTGTTAGGAATTAGGCCTTTCTGGGGTGCATTGATTAATTTTACTGTGTTTGCCTCGACATTTTAGCTTCAGAATAGTTTGTTCTGCGAAGTTCGGTTGCAAAAACTTAAAAATGATAATAATTAAAAAGAATAAATTCAATTATTGATAAGTACTTAGATTAGATAGTACTCGGAATACGGGAGATTAAACAATATTACTTCCATTAGGTTAGATATAATTGTGCCGGGGCCATTGCAAGACACAGGTCAAGCTGCAGCAAATTTTTCTCCAGTTGATGTGCTGCTATTGTGATGGAAGTCCTTAAATGTGAAGAGCACGTCACAATGCCCACAAGGGAAGCACTCGGGCTCGGACCGTCACAAAGCCCGTCACAATCCACTTCTTATTTCAGAGAAATACTTGGGCATTTCTTATTTTCATTATTAAATTAACACCCTACACCTACCTTTGATTAAAGTATATATATTTGGTGCTTCATCCTTACATTAGGCTCTACTTTAGCCACTTAACTTTAAAAAACATATTTTTAGTCCTTTAACTTTAAAATCATTAACAAAAAATGATAAGTGTTGATAGAACATTTTCAAATGATAATATATTAATTTTTATTTTTGAAACAACTATGATTAATACAAATCATCATGATTTAAAACTAGTAATTTTAGGATCAAAAGACTTAAAATATGCTTTTTAAAGTTAAGAGATCAAAATGAAACTTCATATAAAGATAAAGGGTTAAATGTATATTTTAATCTTTATTTTTTTTCCCCTAACATCTCTTCTTTAATAATTAAAAAAAGAATCAAGTGCACTTCTCTAAGGAAATACATCAGATCCATTTCAGATCATTTTCTGTGTTGGTTTAGGAATTTATATTATGATGCCCATACATAACGGTTGTATTCACAAAATTTGAGTTGAGGGGTTAAACTTAAGTCTGGGTCTGGGTAATTTAATCTCCTGAAATTCGCAATATATAAACTATATAATTTCAATTTATGATGTTATGTGTTTGGAAAATATTAATAATAATTGTGAGGATCCCCCCCCCCCCCCGATTTGATATAAGCAGAATTTCTTTTGCCCCAAATCGATATATTGTATGTTGGGCACGTCTTGGGGGGGGGGGGGGTTATCTCAGTTTAAAATTTCTTTGGGGGTAAATAAGTGTTAGTCCGGGAATTAGAGGATTCAATGGAAAAGAAGGGAATTTGATTTGTCAACTGCCATGCCAAATATAACTCAGGGAATAAATCAGAATAAGAGCCTTAGGAAGTCCTTTTTTTTTTTTTTTTTTGAGGAGGAAAGAATCTCGAGACGTTTTCTTCTCCACACAGGAGAGAACTCAAGACGAGAGATATTACTTTTCAATTTGAGGGGGAGGCATACGAGTTATTGCGTTGCAGGGAGTCCACAAAAGGACGGATTTGCATGTTGTATGTCTACTATAACACGTTAACACGTCCGACCAAGTTGAAGTTGGTCCTAGGCCTGCATATTTAACTGGGCAACTCTCTACTTGTGTATGCGTAAATGCCACTGTATTCTTTACCCCGAAAAAAAAAATGCCGCTGTATTGAAGCCTATCCGTCACCATTCACCAGCCTAACTGGTATGGATATGTTCCAACGACATCTCTCTATTCCAAACCATCATTATTCACCTAAAACTAAACATTGTTTCAACCAATAATCCTTTGTCCACATTCCCCAAATGAGTACTCATTGTATTGCCGTATCAAGGTTTGAATAGCTCTTCCTTCCTGTTTTGGACAATATGCTCATACTCAGAATTGCTATATCATTTATCGTCATATAGTCGCCGAGAGCAACAGCTTTGGCACTGATCACAGTGGCTGCTGCTCCCCGCTGGTTCTTCCTCAATATAGATATCACTCCCCCAGTCGGTCCCCAAGCAATTACGATTACGAACAACATTTATCCGTAACACCCTCCCTAGCCCAAGTTGTTCCTAGTGGATAGAATAGATATTAAACATAACATTATGACAAGTGGCAACCATTGCTGTGGACGATGCTCACTTGTTTCACTTTGATTTTTACTCATTCTCTCTCTGATTTCTCTACACAGAGGCATTGCATTGCCTATATATGAGCCGCTCTGCACTTTTGTCTGAGCATAGCAAAAAGCATTAGCAGCTGTTCAAATGACTTCTTCTACCCTCTACGTCTTGCTCCTCTCATTAGCCATTTTCTCATTTTCATGCTCATCATCACCTTCCCATCAACCAAAACCCAAACCTCATCCCTTCAATCTTCCCATTATGAAAGATCCATCAACCAATCTCTACTACGCTTCTATTGGCATAGGAACTCCTCAACACAACATGGACCTGGTGATTGATCTTGGAGGACCTTCCCGGTGGTATGACTGCCACACTCGCTACAATTCATCGTCCTACCATCCTGTATCCTGTCAATCAAAAAAATATCCCCAAGATGCAGGATGCATTGGTTGTTCTGGCCCTTTTAAACCAGGTTGCTCAAATGACACTTGTGGTCATAACATTTTAAACAGTTTGGCTAAATATATCTTCAGTGGTGACTTGGGTGACGCTGTTTTGCATATGCCCAACCTGAAAGTGCCTCACTTCCTTTCTGGCTGCACCGCTTCGGATTTATTCGCTGGCATAGTTCTAGAAGGCTTACCTTAAGGCAGTGACGGGATCATAGGCCTTGCAAGGACGGAGTTAACGTTACCTGCACAGCTCTCATCGGCTTATAAGCTTCCTCGCAGGTTTTCTCTTTGTTTGCCTTCTTCAACCAACAAAGGATATGGTGACATGCTCGTTGGTGCCCAAGATGCGTCCAAAAGTTCTCAAAACCATCCCACTGATCGTCAACCCAGTCTCAACAGCTCCAGTGTTTACTACTGGGGATGCCTCTTGTGACTTCATTGATGTGAAATCGATCAAGATTGACGGTGAGGTTGTGAACATAAAACCCTCCCCTTTATCCATCGACAAAAAGGGGAATGGGGGTACCAAGATTAGTACCATGAGTCCTTTCACTGAGCTGCACAGCTCAGTTTACAAACCGTTTTTAAGACAATTCGTCAAACAGGCTGCGAGCAGGAAGATGAAGAGAGTGGCTCCAGTGCCACCATTTGAGGCATGCTATGATTCAAGCTCTATTAGGAGATCAGGCGTGCCTAGTATTGATTTAGAGCTTCAAGGGGGAGTGACATGGACTATTCATGAGAGCAATTTAATGGTAACGACTAAGCACAATGTGGTGTGTCTGGGATTTGTTGATGGAGGGAAAGAACCCAAAAAGTCGACGGTGAAAACCTCAATCGTGATTGGTGGGCTTCAATTAGAAGATAAGCTTCTGGTATTTGATTTGGTTTCCTCGAAGCTAAGCTTTTAAGGGTTTTGAGTTTTGTGGATTATGAAGCTTCAACCTTCATGGATGACAACATAAATACCAGCATGATATCACCGAAATGATGAAGAATGTATCTTTTATCTTTTAGTTTTGTGTGGATGAATAAATTAGTGAGTTTGGGTTGCATGAATTCTCCAACAAAGTTCATATGTTTATGATATAACAGTATGTTTAGTTGGCACTTGGCACGTATGCCAAAATTTAATTGAAAGTTCAAATCTTCATTCGCGAAGCTTTTGAGTTAGTGAAATATCTTAAACTGTGTTAGCATTATTAGAAAGTACAGTCCATGGTATTCTGCTTACTTCATTTTCCATTTGAATTTCTTTTAATATACTAGTGTGCATAAAAGTTTTATATTTAAGACCAGAAGAGTAATACATTTTTATTTGGCCAAATAAATCAATTAATATTATTTGAGATTTTTAAGATTAAATATAATTTTGTGACACAGTAAATTATGGACATTGCAATTAGTTAATTATATGATAAAATTTGTATCAAGTCATATTATTCACAAATTATATACCATTTAATTTATTTCTTTTTGTTTAAAAAAATTATTTCTTAAACTTTGTGTAATACTCCTCTGGTCCTAAATATAAGACCCCTTTCGTAGTGTAAATTATACTACGAAAGGGGTCTTATATTTAGGACCGGAGGGTATATTTACAAGATAATGTTTTTTTAATAATAATCATATATAGATGCACTCTTTTGGGATATATACAGAGACAGGGAGAGATAATATAATTTTTTATTCTCAATTTTCTAACTATCGATTTAGCCCCTACGATTTATTGAGTTAAAGAATTAGATGGACTAAATTATTTAGAATAATGCAGCCACATGACTGATTACAGCGAGAAAATTTAAGAATTAAATTAATAATTAAAAAAATTAAAGGCCAAGTGGGCATACTCATAATGGACAAGCGCAAGTGGGCAGCAGCAGATGGAGAGCAGGGGTATCGGCAATTGTGCCAGCAGGGACGCCAACTTGGACCTGCACATGCAAAAGTTGGTGTTAAGACTTGAATAATGTGGCATTTCATTCCTTATACTTATTCATTCTCTCCTCCTGTTTCTCTTCGTTTCATCCTTAGATTTCAAATACAACGTGATTCAAAACTTGTATTAAAGTTGCCGAGCGCCTCCCTTTGTACATGGATGCCAGCCAAGTTTGAATTCTTTCTGTTTAGCTTCATCTCTATCTTGACCAGACACAACTGTCAAAGGGCAATATAATCATTAATTTGCGATCTACTGAATGCCTATAAAAGGAAACTACAATCTGAGCAAATTAAAGCAGCCTCATCATCAGTTTGCTGTTCGATCACAATGGCTTCATCTTCCGCCCTGATCCATTTCTTCCTCCTCTCAATGGCCACCTTCTCAATCTCATGCTCATCACTTCCCCATCAGCCCAAATCCCAACCCTATTCCTTCAAACTTCCCATTAAGAAAGACCCATTAACCAATCTCTACTACGCTTCTGTTGGCATAGGAACTCCACAACACAACGTGGACCTGGTGGTTGATCTTGGAGGACCATCCCTGTGGTATGACTGCAACAGTCGCTACAATTCATCGTCCTACCGCCCTGTATCTTGTCAGTCAAAAAAATGTCCCCAGGATGCAGGATGCACTGGTTGTTCTGGCCCTTTTAAACCAGGTTGCTCAAATGACACTTGTGGTCATAACATTTTAAACAGTTTGGCTAAATATATCTTCAGTGGTGACTTGGGCGACGATGTCTTCCATATGCCCAACCTGAAAGTGCCTCACTTCCTTTCTGGCTGTACTGCTTCGGATTCATTCACCGGCGATGCTGTAGTTCTAGAAGGCTTACCCAAAGGCAGTGATGGGATCATAGGCCTTGCAAGGACGGAGTTAACGTTACCTGCACAGCTCTCATCGGCTTATAAGCTTCCTCGCAGGTTTTCTCTTTGTTTACCTTCTTCAACCAACAAAGGATATGGTGACATGCTCGTTGGTGCCCAAGATGTGTCCAAAGTTCTCAAAACCATCCCACTGATCGTCAACCCAGTTTCAACGGCTCCAGTGTTTACTACTGGGGATGCCTCTTATGAATACTTCATTGATGTGAAATCGATCAAGATTGACGGCAAGGCTGTGAACATAAAACCTTCCCTTTTATCCATTGACAAAAAGGGAAATGGGGGTACCAAAATTACTACCATGAGTCCTTTCACTGAGCTGCACAGCTCAGTTTACAAACCGTTTTTAAGACAATTCGTCAAACAGGCTGCGAGCAGGAAGATGAAGAGAGTGTCTCCAGTGCCACCATTTGAGGCATGCTATGATTCAAGCTCTATTAATAGGTCCGGCGTGCCTAGTATTGATTTGGAGCTTCAGGGGGGAGTGACATGGACTATTCATGAGACCAATTTAATGGTGACGACTAAGCACAATGTGGTGTGTCTGGGATTTGTTGATGGAGGGAAAGAACCGAAAAAGTCATCGGTGAAAACCTCAATCGTAATTGGTGGGCATCAATTAGAGGATAATCTTCTGGTATTTGATTTGGTTTCCTCGAAACTAAGCTTTAGCTCCTCCCTTCTCCTCCAGAACACAAGTTGTTCTCGCTTTTAATGCAATGGCTTTGAGTTTTATTCTCTATTGGCCTTGTGGGTTGTGAAGCTTCAACCTCCATGGATGGCAAAATAAATACGGGAGCATGATATAAGCGAAATGAAGAATGTGCCTTTTATCTTTTAGTTTTGCGTGGACAAATGAGTAAGTTTTTGTTCAAGAGTTCTCCAACAAAGTTCTCCATCTTATGTTTATGAAATAACAGCGTGTTTAGTTGGCACATGGCATGTGTTTCAAAATTGAATAGATCTAGTGTTCCAAGTATTGATGAGGGGAAGTGGAATGGAGCATTCGTGGGGCCAATATTTCAATGTTCATCGCTGAGAAAAATGTGGTGAGCTTGGGATTTAGAACAAAGCCAAGAATGTCATTTGGGAAATGTAGTAGGTGGACATTTGAAGGTGTTTGATGTGGATTCCTCAAAACTAAGTTTTTAGCTATCCTCTTCGCCGAAACACAAGTCGCTCTCACTTTTCCTTAGCCATGCATGATTCTGTAGATCATCATGAAACCTTTTTTGTTTTTTTGGCTCGTTTTTGCCGGACAAAAAGATCTTTAGTCGTAAATAAAATTAAATGCGCTGACTTGTTGGTTGTCACTAATAAGCGACTAGATCAGTCGTATTTGATAAATGAGTAAATCATTTTGTCAATTATATAATTTTATTTTGCTGATTAAACGTTGTAAAATTAAACAAAAGTGAATCGAGTACATGTACGAGCGCATATGTGTGTGTATAATATGTGTATATGTATATATATTTTAGTTGAAGAAGTTATTTATGTTCTTGAAATAACAAAAATATCTTTTAATAAATTATATATACATGTATAATTTCTTATCTAATAATCATATTTTAAATACTATCGTCATAATAATCATTTTAAAGGGTATGTCCTTTTAAAAAAAATACGTGGGTTTATTTAAGATCTTGAATTTAACTCTCGATTTGATTTTCTGTTTTAAAATTTGAAAATATGCATTAGTATATTATATTTGATTATTCTATTCTCATGGGAGACATCACATTGCATTTGTATATTATATTTGATTGACCTGGCATTTAGCTGCTTAATTGTTGTTTCTTTCAACAACAAAAAAAAACCAGTGGGTGCTTGTGATCGTGATTCGTGAATACCTCTCATGTGCTTTTTATAAGCGTTATGATGCGTGTGGTTAAGCAAAACCGTCCAGTCTCTGCGGGTTGGACAAGATTGATGACATGGCATTTTTTGGATCACATTGTTGATTAAACGGTGGAAATTCAGTCCACATGAGTGATAAAAGAAATTGAAAATGAATCCATATGAGTGGCCCAAATAAGTGAACAACAAAAAACCCACGTGAGATTTCCGGCACAAAAAGAGAGTATCCGTTGCCATCAAATGGAGATATTCCCGGAGCCAAAATTACATTCGTAACCCCATCACTACAACCCCCACCACCCCGAAAAAAAAATAAATAAATAAATCTGAAGTAAAAGCATCATAGCTTCGGCTGTTATGCTACAACTCTGATAGTTTATCGTCACACATAATCTAAATGAAAACATTGACCCAAGTCTATCTCAAAAGGAAAAAGAATAACTCACCCAAGCTGAGTTAAGGCTTCTTCTCATACATATTCTCACTAAAAACATTGACCATTAGCTGACTTGATCTCTGTGACGATCAAGTGTACAAAATACCTTTTTTTTTGTTCTTCTTTTTTGGGGGGGGGTTGTTTGTATTACAAAATTGTGTGGCTGCACCAGAAGAAACAAGAAGGATATATGCCTCATCATATGAACAGGGAAGAGCTGAGGCAAGTAACATTCAAACAGATTCGGAGGCCATGTCACTGAACCTAAAACCAGAACAAGCAGCGTTGCTCATCAAAAGAGAAGGACTGAATCCCACCATGGAAGTATCCAAATCAAACTCCACAATCACATCTTCCAATTGATATCCCCCAATCACGATCCTGTTACTCGGATCCAAGTTCACTCCTCCGTCTACAAAAGCCAAGCACATCACTTCACCATTCACCCCCACCATTGAATTCCTCCCATGAATCCTCCACTTCACCATCTCACTCTGCAGTACCAAATCGATTACAGGAACATTTGGCCCCACTTGCGACCAGTTAATTCCTCTGGAACTAAAGCAGAGCCCAAACGGTTCCACCGCGGTCACCCTGGTTATGTTCATGGACACTGCTGCTTTCAGAAAAGCTTCTTTGAAAGTGGAGTAGATTGAACTTTCCATGGAGGTGTAAGGCATAATGGAGCTCAACTCGGTTTGAATCCCTCCGCCATTCTTTAGAGTCAAACGCTTACCGTTGATTTTGACGGAATTCACGCCGATGAAGAATTTCTCCGATGGGAGTTTCTCATTTTGTGGGGTGATCAGGGGAGTAAAGGTGAGGGATCTTGAAAATTCAGCTATTGGTCCAGCTTCGGTCGCCATACCGCCAAACAATGCGAACCCAGTGGAAGAAGAAAGACAGAGACAGAACTTCCTCTGCATATTGTAGGACGCAAAAATTTGAGACGCCAGGGAACTTCGAGTTCTTCCCAGGCCGACCATGCCTTTAGCTCCACTCGCCAATCCATTCAACAGGGAGGTAGGTGAGCAAGTGAAGAATAGGGCTTGGTTTGATATCTCATTTTCAGTTGAGCGGAAGAGTACGAGGTCCCGTACGAGCGCTCCACCGCTGTCTCTGGTCTCCGTGACGCTATTCTCCGAGAAAACTCGGCATGCATGGCGTTGATCTGGAGAATATGAAAAAATCAGAGAGTCCAGCTGAGGGGATTTTGCAGCGAGGCAGTGGATTGAACGAGAAGGGATGACAAGGGAAGAAGAAGAGGGCAGGGTTCTGGAGGAACAATCAAACCAGAGAGAGGAGCCTCCGAGATGAAGCACGAGGTCAGCGGGCTGAGAAGGGGAGCCATAAGAGAGGGGGGTGAGGTATTGGAGAGTGGAGCGGTGCTTGGTGAGAGGAAGAACCAGAGGGACAGGGGAGGAAGAGGAGGGTTGAGAGAGAGAGGTTGGGTAGACAAAGAAGAGAGAGGAGAGAAGAAGGGGAAGGAAAAAGGAGGAGGAAGCCATGGAAGAGGAAAGAGAGAGGGGAGAGCCTGCGGGGAGTCGCCGCGGCAGGCTCAGAGTCAGATGGGATGAGATACTGGGTGGACCAAAGGCTTTTGAAGTTTTTGTTACCAGAAAGGCCCTTAAAGTTGTCCGCATAATTTTATGTTACCTGCGCCCACATGGGCCGCCGCTCGCCGCCCATCCCTCCGTCAGCTTCATCCTCTCCGTGCGTTGGGTCGTTTTCCCTCATTTTGTCCATCACCTTCACCAAAACCTCAATCAGCTCCCTATTTTCCCTTGTTCCCCTTTATTCAATACTCCGTCTTTTATCACCCTGCCTGTGCTTTCTATTTCTATTTCTATTTTATTTATTTATCTATTTATTCATTCTCATATTATAAAACTTGGTAACATTAATCCATAACACAATCATATTTACAATTATAGTTTTCACAATGTTTTATTCCCTGACAATAACTCGGGCAAAAAAATATTACCTAACAATAACGGTAAGCCGCTCTATATTTTAACTGGATACTCCCTCCGTTCCTTATTATAAGAGACATTTGGTGTTTATGGCATTTTCCTATATATAAGAGTCACTTTAAAAGTTGTCTCTACTTTTTTGTGTTGATTTCCTATTTTACCCATATTTATTGTCTCAAATTCACACACTCTCTCCCTCTCACTTCTCTTTCTTTCAATAATTTAATTGTTCTCTCTCATACTCTCTCTCCTTATTAATGAGGGCATTTTTGGGGAAAAAATTATATTTTTTACACATTGATTGTTCTTAACTAATTTTAACTGCTTTTTTGATCAACGTAATTCGGTTATTCGTCTCTTATAATAAGGAACGGAGGCAGTATTATCAATTCAAAATATCCTTTATCCAATACTAAGTTATATTATTTCCCTGCTCAATTAAACGCATCCCTTCCAACATAATTTTCTTTCATTCATCAAGTTTGCATCTTATTCTTATTTGACAAAATTGAATCGCCTCCATTTCACCTAACCATCATGAATAAAATTGTTTAATTTTAATCAATAATTTGAAATATTTAACATCTCGCCAAAAAATAATTAAAAATATTTATATAAGAAAACTAGAATAATTCCCTCGTAATGGCAAGGAGTGCCAATTTTTTTAATATATATCATGAGCATAAATAAAGATTGCCACCATTATGAGCATAAATAAAACACAATGCAAACAGATAAAAAAAAAAAAAGTAGCAGAAGCTATAATTTAGCTGTGATAAACAGTATACTTATATTGCTGGCTTTTTTCTTTTTTCTTTTTTAACCTGGGTACCGATATTGATAATTTATGTATGTTATACTGCGAGTGTGAAGCAAGGACAAAATAATCAAGGTAAAAAAGAAATAGGGACAAAACGAGGACAAAGCTTTAAAATACAAATACCCTTTTTGCGCGAGGTGATTGGGCATGGGAGTCGAAGTAAATTAGTAAACACGCCATCTGGCTTGATTCCGTGAAGGGAAGAGTGCGACCATCGAAAATTTCTCACCCGCAACTTCATTCGAAGCTTTCGTGGTGAGTTTTTCTCCTTCTTGTCTTCTGTCTCCTTTGTGCCAGAATCGCCCTTGTGAATTCCTTTAAACCCATTCTCAAATTTTTGATATTTTTGTCCTGGATCTTCGACTGCATCAGATTTTGCGATTTGTAAGTCCTTCACTATTTATGATGGTTCTATAAAAGGAGTCATCGGGCAATTTTCATTCTTTTATTGTGAGGCGTGATCGGAGATCGTTCTTTTTCCTCTGCTACTCATTGATAATTAACAACTGCACTTAATTATGGTTTTTGTATTCTTTATTTGCTATTTCTGTCTAGTATGGCTTGGTTTCTGATTACCCGCTTTCCATTTCGGTCAGAATACTTTTTCCACTTCGTTTTCTGATAAAGAAGAGGTGAAAATTGTTGGGTGAGTTTATTTTCATAGAAAGATGGGGAATGTAGCTTCTGGAAAACAGGTTATTTCTTCTAAAAGTTCGCAGTTCTTAGCTATTTACTGCCTTATTTGAAGGGGATAAGAAAACTAAACAGTAGAGCAACCTCAGAAGACGAGTATGGATGAAGTTAATCAAACCTTAAAGAAGCAGATAGCAGCACTTTTGCGGGTTATCTCTGCAGCTAATTACTATAAACAGGATAATGTTCCTTGCCAAATCGAAGAGGTAGCATGACTGCGGCTGATGTACCTGGAATGCGATTAACTTAAATAGCATTTTTTTAATTTCATTTAGTGGTTTGCTTTCCGTCTTGCAGGGTCTTTTCTTGGGTTCAGTTGGCGCTGCAGCTAACAAGGATGCACTTAAAAACTTTAATGTTACTCATGTTTTAACTGTGGCTAATACTCTGACACCCGCACATCCTGATGATTTTGTATATAAAACTATAAATGGTATGTGAGTTTCTTCAATAGGAATGAAGTATTGTCTTGGATTTTCTTATGCTTTTTAATTTCCTGTGACTGCTTACGTACATTAGGGTTTTGCGCTTGACTAGGATGGGCAAAGAAGTATTTATGTGGTTCTAGATTACAGAGACCTATTTTCATGACTAATCATTGAAGGGAGGCTTCTAAACTTGATTAGATAGATTTTAGAATGTATTTTTCTGAACTTTGGACAGTAGCATCATTATAAATTTTGGAAGCTCATGATTTAGCCTTTATGGATCAAAATCTGAGGAAAATAAGGGGCAGATTCAGCCACTACTGCTGTTAAAAAAAAAAAAAAAAAGAACCTTGATGTTCCTGACTATGAGCGCGCAACGATCTACTCCTTATGATAGATCTTATCATCACTGGATATGAGCTGATTTCATTATTAAGAATCATAGGACGTTGCCTACATTTAAGTTAGTCTTTGCAGCATTTGCTGTTCGTAGTTGTAGAATAGATCATTATGGTTGCCCTGCGGTCACTAAATTACTGAATATAATGAGTGTATGAATGCATTGTTAAGTATGTAATTATGCTTATTTCTCTTACAATTTTGTTTTGCTTCTAGTGCTTCTGTGGTACTAAACTTGTGCTTTTATTGGAAAATTGAGGTAGTTGTTGACAGAGAGGACGCAGACATAAAACAATACTTCAACGAGTGCTTTGATTTTATTGATGAAGGAAAAAGAGTTGGAGGGACTTTAGTTCATTGCTTTGCTGGAAGATCCAGGAGGTAAAATTTTTTATTTTCTACCAAGCCTAATTTTCATGCTTGTTTGCTTTGGATCTCTCTTCCAATCTTTGTGAAGCCAATTGTTTATCTTTTTTTACTAGTTTACAACATAATTTGCTTGACACTAATTAGATGTGGGTCTTGTGCATTGGTTGGAGTTTAAGGAATAAGTTACGATAGGCATAACTTATGAATATGGCTTCCTTTAAATTTTATATATATATATATATATATATATATAGATTCTGGAATCTTATTTATGTCTTCATCATGGAAAAAAGAATCTTGTTTCATGTGATATCTTGTGCTCTAGAATTATAGAAGAGCTTAACCAGACCTTAAGACTGTGACATCAGACTAAAGAACAGTGAGGAAACAACGCCTGCGAGGGGATACAATGCTCTTCAAAAATGAAAATTCATTTCCTCCTTTAGTTTGAGCCTGTGACTTAGTTTCCGCTGGAAGATTATAGCAGCTTTTGACCATTCTTATGTTCGATATACAATTCAGAAGTTAAAATAGTCCACATTTCCAACCTTCCGTTTCTCTTTTCCCTTTTGTCAAGATTAACCAGACAAAATGTACCGTTGTATGTTCTTTTTACAGTGTGACTGTAGTGGTTGCGTATCTGATGAAAACTCATCGAATGAGTTTATCTCAAGCCCTGGAGCATGTGAAGAGCAGACGACCAACGGCATCTCCCAACCTTGGTTTCATTCGACAGCTGGAGGACTTTGAAAAATCTCTTCAAGGTGCTTACTGAGTTGCATTAACCATATTTAAGGTTTCAACGATGCTTTTTTGGAATTGTAACCTAGCCCCGCGCTTAATATATATTTTAGCATCAACAAACAGTAATCATACGCCTATCAGACTGCGGAGCAGAAATATATAATACGGAAAAGATCGTATGGCACGCATAAAATAGTTGACTGAAACTGGTTATGAAATGCATAATCAAACCAAAATTTGCACCGTATTTTGACAGGCCTTTTGAATTATTCTCAGTTGTCATGTCTTGATTTAGTGGAAGATTCTCTTTCTGTGTTGGGTTTCTGGGTGATCCTACTGATTGACCTTCCACTTAAGTGCTCTTTCCACAATTTCTTTATGCAGTTTCAAATTGAGAAGATTCGTGAATTTGGCTCTGATTTGCTTCTGGATACAAGAATCAAGTGTCGCAGTGCAGAAGTCAAAGGCGATTGGTGATACTTTGTAAACATGAAGGTAAATAAGATTTACCGTGAATCCAGAAAATGTATCAAGACGGCATGAGACCGTCCTTGACAGTAGTGCATGTTGGACCGTTATTAATCTTAGTACCGGAGTTTCGGATTCAATATAATTTCAGTACCGTGTTGGAATCTTTCTTCATGAGAAAAAGAAAGTATTCTGATTTATGACATGCCAACCATGTCTAATAAGTTTTGCTTTTCCTTACAAATGTAATGCCTTAATTTGCTGCTCGCGGTGGCCAGGAATCCAAGGGAATACGTTAATTGAATATTTCTGTGGTGAATTGCGGTCTTCTTACTAGTAGTTGACATATTTGCTGCCCACATAGATTCCTTAAGTGCAGCAGATGTGGCTTTGGGATTAGAAACTTTAGTTGGGATTGGGATCTGAACCGGAATATTTGGCTTTATAGGAAAATTGATTGCGTTTGTTTGGATAGGAGGTGGTGAATGGTGACGCTGATATCTCTGGGCTTATAGTAATTGGAGCCACAGAAGGGAACAATAAATGCAGCATTTTGTTCTGGTACCTTCGTAGCTGATGGTTAAACTAGGTAATAAAAATACAATTGATACACACCCACAAATGCCCATGTTCCATCCAATGTCTGCCTTCGCCACCGTTGTCTTTTTAAGTTGAAAATCCCATCCATTAACACCAGATTGGGTTTGCCGTTTGTTAGGCCCACGCATTTTTCAATAGAAGAGATTGCTAACGCCACTTCTTCGGTTCTCCGTTCCTCTTGTTATGTTCATCACATATCCGCTACAAATCCAAGAGAGGGCTAAAGCGATATGGACCTCCTTTGTCTGACGTTCGGTGCTGAGGGGCGTCCATAACCTTGCCTTTAAATTATTAAACATTTAAAAGTACTTTTTATTAATATCATCCAAGTATGTTGCATTTTGCCAAAATTTTTGGAGATACATACATTTAAATATAAATCACATTATATTTATAAATCTATTTCATTCTCAAAATTTGAAACATCGCTGCTTCTTTCTATTGGGTTCAATCCACTCATATTTTGGCACATACATTGTAAATCTATTTTTAACCAAAATTAAGTTTGCAGTTTGTTCCCCAAAAAAAAAATAATAGTCAATTAAACAAGTATTTTTATTTCAAGAGAGATTGTTTTCAGATAATCAAACATGAGGTTCGGGCAATCACTAAATTACCAGGACATATGTCCTCATAAAACATCTTCAACTTCTAATGTCCTCCAGATGTGGCCAATATTTATAAAATCCGAACGCTGGTCCTCTAGAGTTTTAGGACTCTGAATTGATCACTCTTTTGCATTTGTTTTTCTGATTCAATACGAATGCTTCAGTTTTTATTCGAAAAATTATTTATTTATAAATATAAATTCTCAGTACTGCTCTCGAACTTAGAAACTCTCTTCGTCGAGGATAAAGCGAGACAAGTAGAAATACATATTTCTTTGAGAAAATAAAACTAAACTGGTGGAAACTATCAGATTCTAAGTTCTAACCCAAAACAGTTTTGGTGAAGAATATCATGATGATAGTACTAATATATTTGTCACATTTTTTCTTCGTGAAACTATAAAAGTTACAGATTCACAGCATGTATCTAACTAACCAAGCTTTCAGTCGTCAGTACAAAGAAAATTTAATGTACAGGCAGTTGCGTTCGCTGTCTTAACTGGCCTGAGGCACTGTTGATAGATAAATTACAGGGTTGGCAATATGCATCGTATCGAACCGGAGATTAGGGTTTTGCCACTACACCAAATAAAGCCGATTCCTGAACCTAAACAAGATTAAATTTATCATAATAATACTATTCATATAGCAGAGTCACAAAAACAGTGAAATCCTCATAAAAAAATTATAATCGGCGATGAAGAAGGCAGCAAGTTACGCATGAAGAAGGTAGGCACAAGAGATCGAACAAATAAAAATGCATGGAAGAGCTGAGAGAATAACTCTCTCATACCTTCATTTTTAACTCACGAGTGGGCACGTAATTGAGCCAATATCATAAACGTGAGACGCGTAATGTGTATACGCAATAGGGGAAGAGGGAGAGAGAAATACGGCTATACATGTGTGTGTGTAAAAGAATACTTCACGAGAAAGCAACATGTAGCATTAAATACCAGCCATTATATTATCCTCATCTCTCTCTTTGGCTCATTATATATAAACAGATCCCATCAGAGAGCCCCCGACCGTGATCCTTAAGGTTGTTGATATCTAGTCTGTCAACCCAGAAACCAGCAACAAAACTCTTCCCCCTTAACTGACCAAAACATGTCTCACATCACTGTCGAGAGGAACAGAAGACGACAGATGAATGAACATCTCAAAGTTTTAAGATCACTGACCCCATGTTTCTATATCAAGAGGGTACACTGTTTCCTTCTTCCTCTTCTTATTATATATTTTTGTTATTTTAAGAAAAAGTTATAGGAGCTAGCTAGCCTCTCAAGATGTAAACTGATTGCTTACAAAATATAGGATCACTAGTAGGAATCAAGCCAAGAACACTTATTTTCTCGTTCTATCTGTTTGTGATGTGTGATGATGCATACATCACAATCTCTTATGCAATATATATTTCTCTTTTGTGATGTAGGGAGACCAAGCATCCATAATAGGGGGTGTGATAGAATTCATCAAGGAGTTACACCAAGTTGTGGAAGCGTTGGAGTCCAAGAAAAAGAGGAAGAGTCTAAGCCCTAGCCCTCGTGGTCCTCCTCCTGCAACACCTGATCATCAAGCCATCGATAGTCCTTTGGGAATTGGAATTGGATCTGCCGATTCCTTCAAAGAATTCGGAGCAGCAGTTAGCTGCAACTCTTCAGTTGCAGATGTGGAAGTCAAAATCTCAGGCCCCAACGTGATACTGAAAGTGATCTCTCACAGGATTCCAGGTCAACTTGCCAAGATAATAGCTGTTTTAGAAAGGCTTTCTCTTCAAGTTCTTCACCTCAACATCAGTAGCATGGAGGATACGGTTCTCCACCACTTTGTTGTCAAGGTAGAACATCCTTAATTATAAAAACTATCGTGTGTCTTGTTATCTTGTTTTTAATTTTATTACGATAGTGATTCTAACCGCAAACACTTACAAACTCTACCTGAATTTTGTCCTAGTATATATAGCAATTGATTTTTGTTGGCCCATAATGGTAACGTAACTAAACTCCACTTAATTTAAAGTTGGTAAGAGTGAAGGCTACCAAATTATCGAAGCTTTTATCATTTACGGCCTTCTGTATTTGTATTTATAGAGCCGGTTCCAACTTTAATTTAGTTTCAAGAATGGAGAATTGGCCACTCCGAAGATGCATAAATCTTACACCCACACGATCGAGACTCTGGTCAAGTTGGTGGTCTCTAAGCATATTGTGCATTAGGGTTTGTAGTATCAGTTTCAAGAATAAAGACGCATGAGCTTGATTTGTTGGAATTGGCTCGTCCGTTTGCCCACCTATAATAGACAGACACACCGAAAGTGGAAGTATAGAAGAAAGAAGATCATTAGAATGAACATTTCGAAGCTTTTCCCCTCTTGATTTTTACACTTAATCAATATCATTGACTTCCAACTCGATAAGCTGGATGAACTTGCATGATGAATAAGTAAACGGCCTACTGTAATATGCTTTAACTTACTATCTTCATTATAATATGATTTTTCGGATGTTCGATTGTGGATTGCAGATAGGACTGAACTGTCAACTAAGTCTGGAGGAACTAGCAATGGAAGTGCAAGGAAGCTTCCGCTCAGACGCTGTTACCAATACTGCAGCAACTAGCGCTTAACAACACATTCCATTTGGAAATATGATCGCAGGCAATATAATAACATACAAGAAATTATCAAAATCGTTTTCTTTGCTGTGATATATTATAATTTGACCAGACGGAAACGGTACCTTGGTCTTCAAATATGTGTAGTTCCTGGAGGCGCAATGCTCCAGTAGATCCTGTAGAACAACTTGAAATAGATATGTTATGGTTAAGTTGGGCCTTGCGGTAATTAAAGATGTAGGGTTCTTATAAAGCCAGGCCGAGCTTATAACTCTCACGAAATCATAAGGTTTCTGTGCCGATATAAATATATTGGCCCAGATGATCATTGTTCAGAAATTAAAACTTGAAATACTTTTTTATTCCCCAGTGTACTGTTAAGAAAGCAAACCCACGCTTTGGTTGATATCTATGCACATCAAATGATTAGCATTTTTTCCTCTTCACAAATAAAAATGGCTACTCAATAGTACTAATAGTGTAATTTATTATGAATTAAGAGGAGAAAGAAATATGTGGACGATCATATCTGGAAATTGATGTGTGTGCATTGGATTGGAGAAGATGAAGCAGCAGCCATGTTTTGATGATGTTGTTCAGTTTCGAGTTGCATAAGCAATCATGGGAATTGATATTCTGTGGCTGTGAAATCTGAAAAGGAAATTAATAGACGCGGCAATCATGTATTGATATGGAACCGGAGGAGTGCAGGGTAAGCGACCGAAGGCCCCAGGTTAACGTCATCTTTTTTTTTTTTAAATAATCATTTTGAAATTTGCAGCACTGCTTTTATAAATTTATTTAAGGAAAACGACAGAACATATAATTAAAATATCGAAATTTGATGTCAGGAATTCCAAATCAGATTTTAAAATTTTGAAATATGGAAAAGATTTCTAACCTTTTTCTTTGCGAAGATCTCTCACTCATGCTGCTAACAGACAAAATTCATATCACGTGTTTTTTTTCCCTTAAAAATCTGAAACAAAAATAGCGAAGTAAATATAAAGAATAGCTCGTGAATGAATGAATGTGTGTGATGTGAAATGAGAAAAAGAGAGAGAAAAGCAGAGGAATTTTGGAGAATGCAGTGTATTGAAGGAGTGAGATGGGAATGATTGAGATTAGCAAACGCAGGCAATGATGAGGCTGCACTGTTGGCCCCAATCAGTTGAGTTCATGTGAGGCACAGCACACCCAACTTTCTCTGTTCAATCACATCTTCTCTCTCATTTTTTCTAAATCACTTTTGATCATTATGATTCCCTGATTCCCATTGCTTCATCACATTGTATCATGTTAATCTCCCCTTTAAACTATCCCTTCCTGCCTGCCTTCATTCCAAAGTTTGCTTGTCTTTCCGCCATTATTCTGCGCTGTGCTCCCCACACTTTCTCTTCCCATCTTCTTAATCCCTAATTAATTCAAAGCTGCTCGGGTTAGTTTTTTTGGAATTGGAAGGAATTTTACGTTGTAGGGAATCCGGGCTGTCAAGCTCTCCCTTCTAAATCAAACCTTTCATCACTCATGCTTCGTTTTTCACTTTTTCTGTGCTACATACACGGTCAACCTCACCAGGGATTAACTTTTAATTTGCATAAACTCCTCTCTGGGAATGGCGGTAAGGTCTTTAAAAAATATTATCTCCATCCTAATTATAAAGTTTTTTTTATAGTCTATCTATAAACAAAATCTTATAATTAGATCCGGAAGTAGTTATTACTAAAATAACTTAGTTAATTTTTTTGCACTGCCATGTCATTCACTTACCATAAAGTTTTTTGTAGTAATTATATTTTTTTAACCATACGATGCTTTTCTGGTTAATTTGATCAGCGAGTACGATGATCTTTGAGGATTTTTGGGAGCGAGAGGATTTTTGGGAGCGGATTGCTTTTGGTACCAAATCAGCCAATATTTAAAAATTAAGAGATTCCAGCCAGTTGGATCAAGGGTATGTTTGGATGAAACCAAACTGTGGTTTAGAAAAGTGATTCTGGAGAATAGATTCTGGAGAAAATAGATTCTGTGAAGAATAGATTTTGTAAAAAAGTGATTTTGAGAAGTGAGAGTGTTTGAATAGTTGTTATCAGAAGCACTTTTTATATATACAAATTACTAAAAAAAAGACATAAGTTAATATGATAATTACAGAAAAAATAGATTTTATGATATATTTTAATTTGAAGGAATAAAATTGTTAATAATATGTTTTTTACCAACATAATTAATAATACATAAGATAATATAATTAATAAATAATTAATGTTTATATATATTTATAAAATATAAGATTAAATATATTTATAAAAAAATATGTTTATAAAAAAAATAACAAGATACATATCATATAGGCCCTCACACTCTCCTTTTTTTCTCCAAAAGCAAAAAAATTTTGCTTTTTCCAAATCATGGTTTTAGTTTTTGGAGGGAGTGTTTGGGTAGATTATTCCACAAACCATGGTTTGGGTCTCCAAACTATGGTTTGGAGTGTCACCCAAACACACCCCAAATTACAAAGGCAACAAAACTGTGCAGGTGAGTTTTATTTATTTGGATACATTGATAACATAATGACATAAGCAATACTTAAATGTAAAACCGCAGATTAAGCTGACACACTTCATTTCGGCTGACGTAATGCACTCATTGCTTTGTCCCGGGATGACTTCGCCTCTTCATTCAACTAACTTTTTAGTTTTTACTCTCCCCCTCCCTGTGTGACTTGGGGTGCGGCAAGAAAGAATTATAACGAGATCTCAAATAAAAAAAAGTAATTATTTAAAAATCTCAATAATAAATTAAACCGCTCATAAAAATTTTAGAATATAAGACAACAATCTCTTATACTTATTTTATAATTATTTTTTAAAATCTTACTGTACTTCTTTGTAAATCTATTATGAATTATGAGCAGCACTTGGCAGTGCATCTGCATGGGTGGGACCACTTTTTGTTGTTGTTGTTGATCGGGTCAAATATTGACGGGACCATCTCCCCCACAATTCTGCTCCATTCTCTATAGGCCCTGTTTCACCGTGGGCCCGTCTCCCCAACCCGGGCCACACCATTATTTGCCCCTCGTCTCTTTTGTCACTGTCCTTCTTTTTGTTTTTTGTTTTAAAAGAAATGTTATCAACATAAAGATTTTTCTTCCCATTTTAGAACGTCCTGAGCTGAGAATTTGGTGAGAAGGGGAGGAGGAAGTTGGCCAAAAAAAAAAAAAGAAGGGGGGCACGTGTACAGGCAGTAAAGGACGACCACGGCGGGACTGTTGTACGATATAATTGCCTTTTTCTTAAAAATTTTAGAATGATACGATAGAGGGGCAGGGAGTGGGGCGCGGCGCGGAGTGGGGGGGTATCGGGGGGTAATAATGAGGCTAGGTGTAAAATTGGGGGAGTGGGCGGGACCCACAGCCCCGCCTCACGCGGGAAGTGACTTTTTAGTGACGGATGAATGGAAGCGCACCTCCGCAGCATGTCCCCACTTCTCTGTGTCCTTTCCTCGTTTGGGTCAGCGCAGTTACAGTAAACCCTCCCCCCCCCCCAAAAAAAAAAAAATCCATCCTCCTTATTATAAACCCTAAACAAAATATATTTGGTATGCTGTACTCTCTTACTATTGAATGGTTTGTATGTATTCAGAGCGAATGAAGCTCCTGTCCAGTAGAAAAAGGGTTCACGGTGTAAGACGTTCGTTCTCCACGGGATTACGGAAGAAGCAGACCAAATACCATGACAACATGTGAACGTGATGCCAGGCAAAAGCCCAAATTGAGGCCCACAACCACGAGACATGGGCTGGTAGTGGGCGGATGGAAATATCAACATTGTCATGAGGGATAATTCAGACATTTTCGCATTAATGAATGTACTGCTCCTGAAGTAGATAAAATAGAATAAATGGAAGGACGAGGGGTGTGATGATAAATTTGAAGTGCGGAGCCTCCATCCGCCTGCGAGGGCGCCTGTGCCTGCACGTTCATGTTTTGTTGGCCCCGAGGCGGCTGACCTCACAGCCACGCCCCATATTTTCTTTAAATCCTATTTGGCTCCCCCAAATATCTGAATTTTATATATCATATGGTAGTACTATCAACAGGATCGGGTATTAATAATAATAATAATAATAATGGAATCTTGAGGGTACAGATTTTACTTGATAATAATAATTTTTTTTAAAAAAAAAGCATAGGAGGGGAAGTGTTGGTGGAGAGAAGGACAAAAGGTCAAAGGGAAGGGAAGGAGGGTTATATCGGGAGGGCCAACGAGCTGGGAGTCAGAAGACGCAATGGCATGTGAGTTTGACTCCCTTGCTGCTCTTCTGCGTCCTCATCCAATCCAACCACTCCTCATACTGCCCCTCGTCTCTCATATCTACAGTACAGATTCCGTGAAAGAGAACAGACAAACAACAATTATTTATGCTTACATCTAGGGGTGTTTGGGAAAACCAAAACCTAAGTTTCAGAAGCACTTTTCGCAAAACGAGATAACTTCCTCCACATATTTACTTCGTAACCGTAAAAACACTTTGAAACCATGGTTTGGTTTCTATCCAAACACCCCTCTAGACTTTTGAAAAAAACAAAGCAAGGGAAAAAAAAAGAAGAAGAGGAGCTGCCAATAGTTATTTAAAAAAAACCATTCTCATTTGCATTTTATGTTAGGCTAGCGTTAAGTAATGGGGGGGAATGAGATGGAGTCCCGAAGTAGAATATTTTGGAAGAGGCGTCCTAATTCTGTTGTCGTTTCTTCATTTTATGATTTTTTTTAGGGATACTGTTTTTAATGTTTAGAGCCAATTAATTAATATGAAATGATTGAAGTGAGATACAGAGCAGAATAAATGAATAATACTAACGGAGTGTCTGAAATTAAGGAGGGTATGGCAGAAGCAGCGGTGAGCGGTTCACATTCCCAGCGAGTGCACACACTCGCTGGATGCCCCCATTCTTCTCCCTTTCCTTTTTCCTTAACTAAATCCAATCATTCCTCTTCTCATAAATCCCCCATCCATTTTTGTTCTTACCTGCTTTCTCAGCTCTCTTCACTATTCTAAACCGTCAGACCATAC